ATCTGCACCAATCATCTTCCACCGTTTAACACCCACGTGCATATTTTTGAAACCCTATCCAATAACTATAAATTATTGGCAAATTTTTTGGCAAATAATTGCATATCTCGAAAGCATTTCGGTTTTCTGTGCCAGGTTATGTTGATCATGTGGCGTGCCCATGTGCCACATCATGTGTAACATCAGATTGAACCAAACAAAATTTGAGATCTTCGCATATTATTGTATGAACGAGTACTGTATATACATATTTGAACAAACTTCTTTTTCATAAGTGGAAGTATACTAGAACAATAGAAATAACTATTGACAAATATAATAAATATGGTGTAATAGGAAATACTACGTATTATTTTACTCATTCTTTAATATATATATATAGTATAATGAAGTTAGCAACGAATTATTTCTCGAAAATATAGAATACGGAATATGCTAGTCATACTAAATTTTGTCAAAATGAAAGTCCTTTATTTCATAATTGTGACTGTGTTAGACTGATTTTTTTTTATCTCGCGTTGATACTTTGCCCTGTATAATGCAGTATTTTCATCTTTTTATTCTCTACAAAGCTTATGCGCTTGAGTTTAAAGATATTTGCTTTAAAATTAAAATATTATATATAACTGCGGGTTTTTTATTTTAGTAATTAAAACATAATAAGCAATTGCATTATTTGGTTCAATCCTAATCTCAATTTTTTTAATATAAGAAATGTTCACATAACTATCAGAATTTGGAGATAGTGCATTTCAAATTTTTACCACCTTGTAATTATCAGGTTTTAAATAAAATATTTTAGAAAGTGTAAAAAATTCGTCTAAGTTAATATTTGAACGCCCAACATAGAATTTTTTAAATTACTATCTTTAAGACTAAGTAAAAATAGTTGTATGCCTTTAATCAATTTTATAAACCATTTTATTAGAGGAAATTAAAACTTCAAATATAATTGAAAATAAAGTTAGCAGTAAATTTATTAAACGGATTATATAAAATTTAAAATTTATATATCAGTTCAATATATTATTTAAAATATTTTTTCCCAACTTATGTTTCTTTTTACCTGTCTTTTTGGCCTTGCATTTAGAAATATTATGCAGATCATTTTTGTTATTAATTTGTGAATGATTTCATTTGATACTTGTGTCTTTTGTTTTTCTTCGCTTTATAGATTCAACTTGAACCAGAATTTTTTTTACTACTTTTAGTACATGCCAGAGGGTTCAAATTGCGATTGAGATCATAGAGAAAAGTAGTTAATTGTAGGATTGATTGCGATTTAGCGGCTTTGTATCGTTCTGCAAATTTATTAAGTACTATACATAATTGAGAATTTTGATTTTTATAATCTTCCTTGATCTCTTGTAAAAAATTAGTGAATGAATCATTCGCCTCATGTTACATTTTTTGTAAATTATTTTCTTGAAATTTCAATTCTTTAATTTCATGCAAATTATTTGCTTGGTATGTCAATTCTTCATCATCGAGCGAATTATTTGCTTGATCTAATTTTTCAAATTCATGCAGGTTATTTGATTGGTGCTCCAATTCTTTAGTTTTTTCAAATTCCCTATATTCAAATAACTTATTAGTTCATAAATTAATTTTATTAAATAGTAACTGTTTAAAGTAAATCATACATGGTATTAATGCATGTTAAATTTTTATTTTGTCTATTCATATCTCTGGTTATAGCAGGTTTTGAATGTAGCGATGCAAAAAAAGAGTAATTTACTGTATCCAAGCCTTTGAAATCACATAATTGATAGTTAATAAAAGCTTATAAAAAAAATTTTTTTTATTTACTTACCGCTTGCAATATAAGAATAAATTTGGCGATCATTAGCTATGATTGAAGGCAAAAAATTTATTATTTCAATATAGTATTTTGCTGCTACTGTACCCTGATGTTTGCAGGGTGCACCTGTTATTTCAATGGGACAGCTGCAAGTTCCTACTGCACTATTAACTATATAGATAAAATCTGATTTCCTACTTGAGACCTGATATTCATCATTATTTATCAATTGAATTAAACTTGCATCGATGTGTTTCCAGCTCAGGAAAAAAAATCTTTTGGCAATTTTCATATAACCCAGATAATTATGCGCAAACCCAAGCAACTGACGTTCATAGAACCTCTCCATATTTTTTATAATAAATCAAAAAACCTAAACAGGGTTAAAAGCTTGAGTTCTGGCAAAAATTATATCCTTGAACAACCCAAAGCTACGCTCAATGTAATTGTTGGTATGGTTGTCTCGAAATAAAAGGTTAAAATAAAAAGAATGTACTCAATACTGTTGACAATTCCAAAAAATTTTAAAGTGTTTCATAAGCAATAGATATTGTTAATAAAAGTTATTTTTCAATTCTTAATAATAAATATCTATTTTGGTTACAGTTTTTGCATAAAGAATTTTTTTTGTTTGATTAATAATTGATACCTAGTGCTCTTTGTTAATATTATGTTAAGACTTATAAAGCTATCGCCAGAGTGCTTGAAGAAAATGAAATGTACATAGAAGTCAGTTTGACTGTAGCCAGCAAAGCTCCAGTGCTTTTCGCTCTGCAGCAAAATCATTTGTTAAAAAAGTTTGTGGCCTAGTATTACTACTACAACTGAAAAATGTATGCTTTGGTAAAATAGTTTTCAAAAGATTTATTGTTATTTCAATAGTAATTTGAAGCTCGTTGAATGTTATAAATAAGCTTAGAGGTAAGGCATCTACAATACAACTGGTGTAAAAAAGGGTGATTGAGCTAT